ATAGCAAAAATTAAGATTGATGGAGATGGGATTCGAACTCTAGTCATTTGAACAAAGAAAGGCATACTCAACCAATGAGTTAAATGAACCAAGTTGAAGTTTTTTTGGAAATTCGTATACATTGTTCAAGTCCAGTACTAAAAAAAAGAATAAAAAGAAGAAGCTGTGTTTCAAACCCATGACTTCAATTAAGGAATTAGCGCCCATCACCGCTGCACTGCTTCATTCTTTTGGTGCTAAGGTTGTTTTTTGTGTAAATATACAATGAATAATTAATTTTATATAACATATATATAGGTATTTTTTTCAAGTTGCACGGGTCCCGGGACCCCATGGGATCCTTAGTGGGTCCGCCTCTGGCGGGCACCCTTGACATGCTTCGACGCCTAGTGACCCTGTCAGCGGCTGAGTCACAAAAACGACTTAAGGGTCGAAAATCAACTATATACAGAATAAAATAATAGATCATTTTTGAACAATACCCGAGTTGAATATTTCACATATAGCTTTGATAAATGGTAATCTAGATGAAATTAATAGAGTTATGAATTTGATATATAAGTCATATATCTTTATAAACTTGTTTTAGACGGATTTAGTTGATGGATTCTTGTAGAGGTGAGTGTCTCTTATGAGATCTTTTGCCTTACACTGGAACTCTATTGTTCCACTCTCAACCGATTTAATATCAGGGTTTCTTAAAGAAAACAATCACCTATTGAAAATACGCTCGTAGCAGTAAGATATTTTGTTTTTGCCCAATTTTTGAATCATGTCACATAAGTAAATAAGTAATGAATGAATTACTCGTTTTAAAATTTGAGAATATATTCAATATATTAGTCATCAAATATATCTCGTTTTAAATTTAGATAATGTATTAAATCGAAAATATTTTAGAACTATATACACTAAATCTTTCGTGAGATGGCGCGACCATCCCCACCCTCCTTGCTCCCCCCTCGACCCAGCAGTCCAACCGCTCTTAAAAAGTGGAATGAAGCGTGATTTTAAGGCCATACCAATATACCATCAAACTCCCAAGAGTAGGGAAGTCAAAGCTGCATGCCTGCACCCTTCGCCCTGTTCACACCCCTTTATGATTTTATTTTAATGCACCGAACCTGTGTTGAACCACGGTCAGGTGGTTTCTAAACCGTGGTTAGCTTATGCTTCTTCTTAAAGACCTTCTCGAAAATTAAACAAACAGCAGAATTGAATCAAAGCAAAAACAGTTTACCACGTAACTCCACTCGATCTTATGACGTTCTACCTGGAAGAAGAGGAGGTGTGGAAGTGTCCAAAACACCCCTCCAAGCGCCGCCACAACGGAATCTGCCCCGTTTGCCTAAAGGATCGTCTCGTCATTCTCTGCCCCGATTGCGCTAAATCGCGCCCCTGCGATTGCTGCGCCGCCGCCTCTTCTTCTTCCTCCGCCTCCTCTTCCTTCTCTCTCTCCTCCAGACGCGAATTCAGCCGCGCCGCCAACGGCGAGCCAGACTTCCGGCGGTCTAGATCCGTCGGTATTACCTATCTCCAGCCTCGCCACGCCCTCTCCGGCTCAGGCCGGTGGAATCCGACGGAGATTAGGAAGAGCAGGACGCCGTCGTTATTGTCGATCATCTGGCCGTCGAGCAGGAGCAAGAGCAGGAGGGAGCTGGAGGATAAGGAAATCGGTTACCGGGATGAGAAAATTGCGGAGTTCTCTCGGATGATGTTGAGATCGCGATCCGTTAGCGTGGCGATGGCGTCAGGTTCCGGCGATTGTAACAAGGGTAGACGGTGGCATTTTCCAGGCCCGATGAAGATTTTCCGGCAGTCCAAAGCGGGGAAAGTATTTGGAGTGCGCGATCCTCTGTGTAAAGGTTGACTAGGTCTGTGGAACAGAGTATTCGATTTTGTTTTCACTTTCTGACTACACCATAATGAATAGTAGGACTACATTACGTATTAAGGATGTAACAATGGATTACGTTCACAAAATCGCACTTTAAAAAAGGGTACAATTTTCTTTTTGTTTGGGTTAATGAGTGTAAAAAGAGTAAAGTTTTTCTTAAATAAATTAAAGTTTTTCATAAGTTTTGATTTCATATAAGTGTTAAAGGGTTAATTCTCTAAATAGCGATTCAAAATCTTTCAAATAGAAGTATTTATTCCTAATTGCGTTTTTTGTGGGAGTGATGCTTTCAATTTCTCCTTATATCTATTCATTCTTGGATTGCATTGTAAAGGATGATAAAGAATTTTAAAATATTTTTGGTCTTTTATTTACAAGAATTTTAATTACTTAGTGTCAGCGAAGGCTCCACCCTACATTGGGGTCAAGGGGAGTCGGATGTATCTGAATGCAACTTTACCTATATACTAAAATACATACTTCCTCCGTTCCATAAAAGTTGCAACATTGGAATTTCTGCACTATTCACACACCTTACTTTGACTACAATTTTCTAATAATATATATAATAAAAATATTATGTGTAAAATATTAATAAATTTGTATTAGTGTAAATTTCCAATATATTAACTTTTTTTTATGTTTACTGATACGTAAATAAATATAATTACAGTCAAAGTTGCGCGTTGGCAAACGTGAAAGTCAAACTGTTGCAACTTTTATGGAACGGAGGATAGTATATTACAAGAAAATGACTACATGAGAATATCGTAAAATATGGAATCCATTAGTACTATTACACGACCTCTTGAACAGATATTATTTGAGGAAGAAAATATGGTAGGAATTTGAGAAAATGTCATACTCCCTTATCCCTCTCACAAAATTTGACCAACTTATGTTATTTAGTTATCTTCTTAAAACTTTTCTCATTTTCTTTTGAAGCAAAAATATGGTTAGTGTTATTTCTGCCTATGCTGCAAAAGTATCAATTATACATTTTTCAGTTTCTTATTCCATGGTTAGTGTTATTTCTGCCTATGTTTTGTCCTATATAGAAAATCTTATACGGAGTATTAATACCGCAGAAGTGATTAGGCCTATTCTGCTTAAAGATTGATATCGCTCCCCAAATTCGTTTTCAAACGGTGAACTAATAACCTTATTTAAATGTTTTTGGGGAGCAGGATGCAATTATAATGTCAATCTGATTTATTAGAGTAGAAATAGGTATAATTATAATCATAACAAAAATGATGTTTGTACACACTCTTATACACACTTTTGTACACACTTATGTCTGTGAAAACTTTTTTTTTGTCTGTGAACATCGATTCACAGACAATGTTTTGCACAAACAAAATATTGTCTGTGAACCAGATTCACAGACAAAAAAAAAGATTCACACACATGGTGTGTATAAGGTGTGTACATCAAGAATGGTTGTAATCATAAACGGCCTCATTTCAAGAAGAAGACGAAAGGCCCTACTTTATGAAGCAGAAGATGGACGGTACTACTAAATTCCCTGAATATGAGTAAAAAGGTTTTGAAATTTCAAAATAGGATTATCATATTTTTTCCCTAAATATGAGTAAATTTTTGCCAAGTTTGATATTATTAAGCTTTTGAACATGACATTTTTTTCTAAACTTATCAGATTACTGTTATTCAAGTAATAAAAACGTGGTACTCCTGTTTTGGAATTTCGCGTTTTTATTTCTATACTAACTACTAAGATGGAAGACCTTATTGGGGGTGAAGTCTCGCAGGATAAAAATTAAGAAATGAAACGAAATGAAGGGATGCCAATAAGCATTACGGAGTAATAACTATTAAAATTTTATCAACTCGGAATTTAGTGTGCTCGCTACTTGTTTGTAAAAATGTCCACAAGACACTTTTTCATACCTTTAAATGTTTGGATATTGATAGCTCTTTCAGAACTATGGGTCCTTTTTTCATTATACTTTCATTTCATATATATTTTCACCTACTTTCCAGAAAATTTTAATGTGGTTTTCATATCTTTAATATTGGTTCTCATATTTAATCTTAAATAAGGTCTATGACAAAGGCAGATCTTTCGAATTTATCGAGGCCCTTTGGATAAATGTTTGCCCTGAAACCGCCCCATTACCCGTTCGGGTAATTTTTATGAGAACCGTACCGGCCGCATCAACAGGGAATCGGTTTATCCACGTGTAACCGTTTGCCCAAATGATACCAAATAACCAATTTCTAACCCTACTTGTTAATGTAAACATCCTTTGTAATAAAGTATAAATTATATATTCAAAGCACCATAAAACATACAAAAGTAAATATTCAAGCAATCAAGTATTTTATTCCTAAATTAATTAGAATGACAAGCACCCAATATCTCTTGTATTATAATAAAAAAGTATTAATCATCCCAAATCTAAATTCAAAAACAAATTTATGCCTAAATTTAGTTTGAGCCCTAAAAAAGTAGTAATCCATCGCAAAAAAAAACAGTTTTAGCCCTAAATTGATTACACCGTTAAATTAACTATGAGTTAGGGATGTTAGGGTTTTTGAAGTGGGTCTCTGGTGTATTATTCTTTATATACTTATATGGTATATACGATTTGGTGTACACGATTAAGCATATATACTTATTATTCTTATATATAAAGAGTTATAATTTATTAATAATGTTACGGATGGGTAACAGTGCGGGTACCCGCGCCATTAGTGAACGGGGCGGTTTCGGGGCGGATAACAGGGCAGATTAGTATAGAACCATAACCGCACCATTATCCATTTAAAAAACTGGATATTCCCCGCCCTATACCCGTTCTCCAGTCAAATCGATTTTCCCCATTTTTATCAAATCGCTTCGATGCGAGTATCCAACGGGTCGGCCTAAATTGCTATCTCTATTGTTCAACGAGTTTACTCATATTAGCTCACATTTGTAACAATGCAACCGGGGGCAGAGGTGAGGGGGCTGACAAGACTCAGGCCTTCCCCACATTTGAAAGAAACTTGTATTTTAAGTGTTAAAATTTATGTGAAATATCTTTGTACTGTCCCACCCCAACTTTTGCTCTTGTCTACACTCCTAATTGCAACCATATTAATGCATACAAACCATTTTTTCATGTATTTATATTAATTATTGTCCCATTGGACATGCATATATTGAGTATTATGGTCACAGATTCACAACAAGGTTCAAATATGTACTTAGTATTTTAATACACGAATGATAAGTAGCATGCATCAATAACACACCTACTTCATCATATCGATCATATATGACTATTGAAAGCAATGATGTTACATTTATGCAACACTACCTTCAATTCATTCTTAGCTTAGCTTCTTACCTTTCTCTTTTCCTTCTCAAGGAGTTCGTACTATACCTAGTACAGAGATTTATTCATTAACATTCTACTATGGGTATGTGTAGGTCTAAGTAGGAAGATATATATGTATATATATAACTTGTACGCGGTCGCCAACGGTTTTCTTCTACCCTTTCAAGGTGAATGGTATCCACCATATCCACCTCCGTGTTGCTTACCTCCTCCACCGTACCCACCACCTCCACCTGATCCTTCACCGCCGCCGCCGTTGCGCCCACCGCCACTACCACTTCCTCCACCATACCCACCTCCTCTTCGTGAACTTCCATCATGTGCCCAACCACCACCGCCACCTCCGCCCGATCCTCCTCCTCCACCTCCTCCACCATAATGTCCACCCCCACTACCATTTCCTCCTCCATGGCCGCCACCTGCTCCTTCACCTCCGCCGTTCCCACCACCACCGCCTCCTCCACCGGATCCTCCTCCTCCACCTCCACCTCCGCCACTTTCATGTCCACCCCCACTACCACTTCCTCCTCCATACCCTCCACCTTCTCCACGGCCTCCACCTTGTCCCCCACCATCACCACTTCCTCCACCTGATCCTCCTCCTCCACCCCCGCCACCTTCATGCCCACCCCCACTGCCACTTCCTCCTCCATACCCGCCACCTTCTCCATGACCTCCACCTTGTCCCCCACCACCACCACCTCCTCCACCGGATCCTCCACCTGATCCTCCTCCTCCACCTCCGCCACTTTCATGCCCACCCCCACTACCACTTCCTCCTCCATATCCTCCACCTTCTCCACGGCCTCCACCTTGTCCCCCTCCACCACCGCTTCCTCCGCCTGATCCTCCTCCTCCACCCCCGCCACCTTCATGCCCACCCCCACTACCACTTCCTCCCCCATACCCGCCACCTTCTCCATGACCTCCACCTTGTCCCCCACCACCACCACCTCCTCCACCTGATCCTCCTCCACCTCCACCTCCACCTTCATGCCCACCCCCACTACCACTTCCTCCCCCATATCCGCCACCCTCTCCGCGACCTCCACCTTGACCCCAACCTCCACCACCACCTCCGCCTGATCCTCCTCCACCTCCACCTTCATGCCCACCCCCACTGCCACTTCCTCCTCCATACCCGCCACCTTCTCCACCACCTCCAGCATGTGACCCACCACCTCCTCCTCCGCCCGATCCTCCTCCACCACCACCTCCACCTTCATGCCCACCCCCACTGCCACTTCCTCCTCCGTACCCCCCACCTTCTCCTCCACCTCCACCATGTGCCCCACCACCACTTCCTCCTCCTCCACCACCACCACTACCACCACCATGCCCTCCCGCACCATATCCCCCACCGACACTCTCTCCACTTCCATACCCATAATTGTTCCCGACCTCATCATAGCCTTCACGACCACCTTTTCCACCTCCAGTACCTCCCCAACCATATCCGGTGCCGCTGACTTTTGCACCACCTTCAGCTGCATAACCGGAGGTTTTTACATCTACAACACCTTGACCACCGACATCGTATTTTGACCCAACACTGCCCACATCAAGACTGAGGAGGGTTCTTGCTGCCGAGCAAATTCCTATGCTCAGCCACAAAAAGAAGAATATAGTATTAAGAACTCGATGCCTTGCCATAAGGGAAACGAAGATCGGTGTGCTTTCATTTGCATGGTGGATGTTGTGGGCATTTATATAGCTAGGACTAGGAAGTGGAAAGAACGCGTTGAATAGAAGAAAACAAATGAGAGGGGAAGAAGCGTCGCCTATTTTCCCCACAAATGAAAGTGCGTGGTCTCATATATCATCATGACGCCTCAAATATATAAGATCTCATGGATCATCATGTTCACATTTTAGCTAGTGACCTAGTGTGCTTTTGCTGTCTTCCACATACGGTCGACTTAGCTTCTTAGTATTACCCACCAAATACAATACTCCGTATATACCTAAATAATTGTGTTGAGAAAATAATCCAAATAGGCAAATAGGACAAAACAAAGTGAGAGTTCCACTTTTCCATGTTATCTCGGAGGATTAATAATCTTATTATTTAAAAAAAAAAAGGGCAAATTACCAAATTGGTAAAAAAAGAGGGTCGTTTGACAGATTGGTAAAAAAAACCACCTGGGTCATATTGGTAAAAAAGAAGCCTGACAAATTCGTCAATTTTTTGTGAGTGATAAACTGTTGATCCTCGACTTTAGAATTCACGACATTTCATATTCTAAGTATTGTGAAATTGACATTTTCAGTCCTTTTACTTTGATTTTGCCATCAAAAGTGGAAGTCTAAAAATGTCAACGACCGTTTTTTATAATAACAGTTGTCTACTAGCTAATAACCGGTTGAATCAGCATATTGATAATAGCGGATTCCGTTAGCTTTTATAACTAACCGCTTTCATTAGCGTTTGAAATAAATGTTAGTAACTTAACTGTTTGCGATTAAATGTTAAAATGTAAAATCACCATTAAAGATATGAATTTAAAAGTATATATATTTATCTTAACTTTATTTTTTTTATTTTTAATAAGTCTTTGAAAAGGTTTTAAAAATTATATTTACATTTATTTTAAATAACCATGGAGTAATTTTTTTAAAAAAACTACTCCTTCCGTCCCACTAGAAGGTTCCCGTTGGCGGTTTACGAGGCTTGACTGACGATAAAGCAACATAATCCCTGTTCACACTCTGATTATTTTTAGTAAATAAAATTTACATATTCAGAAACTACATTAAAGCCGCTACAAAGCCTGATACAAAAAATGTAAATTTGATAAAAATTTGATTTATGAAGTAAAAGATTAAAAATGATTTAAGTTGACCATGTGCATAGTGGACGAGAACCTTCTAATGGGACGGAGGTAGTAATAAATAGTCATAAGGAGTAGAATTTTGGAGTAGATTTTTAAATGGAGTACACTTTTAAAAAACTAATAAATAGTCATATTTAAAATATTAATACTAAAAATATATGAATTTATATGTGTGTGCTTGCATTAAGGTACATATCTTAAAAATGATAGTGTTAGTAATTTTTAAATAACCATGGAGTAATATATGATTTTTAAATGTACATTTATTTTAAATAACCATGGAGTAATTTTTTAAAAAAACTAATAAATAGTCATAAGGAGTAGAATTCTAGAGTAGATTTTTAAACGGACACTACAAAAAAACACAGACGTAGCCACGGACCGCAGAATAAAAAATCCGTGACTAACATAGTTAGTCACGAATTTTGTCTGTGACTAGGTCCGAGACTAATTCCGTGTGACTAAAATGTAGTCACTGAACTTTGGCCGTGACTAATTGTAGTCACGGATTAGTCACGGACCTAATCTGTGACTAATTCTTGATCGGAATTGCTACTCCGACATGTTAGTCACAGATCAGATCCGTGACTACCACTACCAAAAAAATACGCCATTGGGTCGGATTTTGGCACAGAACGCTTCACAAAAATCCCAGACTATCGCTGTTGGCACGGATTAGGCACGGATATGGAATCCGACGCACCTAGCTCGTGCCAAATGCTTTGGCACGGGAAAAAAAATCCGCACCAACTCTTGGCACGGCTTTGGGCACGGAATTTCAGAGACAACAACACCGATTACTACCCCAAAAAATTTGGCTCGGATTTACCTTGGCACGGATATTGGCACGGAATAAACCGGGTTACCCAAATCTTTACCCATTTGCTAGCTCGGATAAGGTCGTGCCAAATTTTTAACCGAAACCCGTTCGGGATTTTGGGACGGACGACATCCGTGCCAAATTTAATTTAAAAAAAAACAGTACACCGTACATATGTACGGAATACCGTACATATGTACAGTGTACAGTTTTTTTTCTTCAAATCATTATAAACAAAACATTTAACTGGGAAACATATAGAGCAAATGAAAGATAAACATTATAGAGCAAATGAAAGTGCACAAATTAACAGAAGATTATTTTGTTACAGCAGTCCAGGCAGATAAACCACTGCCAAAATAGAATTAGAAATGGCAAATAAATTGCCAGAAGATGTCCAGAAACAGTACATAAAATTAAACAGTTTGTTCATTACACAAATAGATCAGACATCCGCACTTCATTCGAATCATGTAGCCCATTCATTTGGGCGGAGGTCGGGGTAAGAAAAAGGGGAGAAATCAGGTAGCGGGACAGAAGGGTTCGAGCTTCGCACTTGCTCCATGTACGCCGTAAAAGCAGAAGTCATGTTCGCCATCTGAGTTTGCCACTGCTTTTCCTGCTGCGCAAACCGGGCTTCGAGCTGCTCCTTGATGCGGGAATCGATTTCTACTTGAGTAGGCCCCGATATCTTGTGATTCCTTCCTAGCTTTAGAGTTCCTGTTCTTCTTTCCAACTTGGCTCTTTTTCTTAAAAGCATCAGAGGCCTAATATTCTTGCAACAGCTTCCAATCTCCATCTCCAATCCTGTCCGGCTTCTTGTTCTCCCGCCTAGCTCTGCCAATATTTTTGCTCAACCATTCAGAGGCCCGAGACTTGAACTTCTTTTTCATTTTGGTATCAAAGCAGGGATCCCACTCATACTTTCTCTGAAAATACAAAAAATACTTCATCAACCTCATAACTCACAATCTGTCAAATAAAAACTAAAAGTGAGTACCTATAACATACCTGAAACAGTTTCCACCAACGGTTGCATTGATCAGCGTCCGCATGCATATAAGAACGCCATGGCCCGTGGAAATTGTTAATGAGGATTGAAATGATGTTGTTGAGGACAGTAGGATTGCTTCATCAAAAAAGAACATATAAGTGTAATGTATAGATACGAATTTATTATATAAAAAATGCCTTGTGAAGTTTTACATTACCTTCACATTTCAAAGGGTGAAATGAAAGTCTTTTGCTGAACAGATTCATCAGGGATCGAAGAATCAAAACCACTTAAATGATCATCAAAAGGGTGTCGGGATTGGACAGACTCATGTGAATGACCTAGAGGGGAGTTCTGCTCATTCTGGACAATGGGTGGGCTACCTCTACCTCCACGACCTCCGCGGGAGGAAGTAAATGAACCTCTACGAGAAGACATTCTATCGAAGCTAATAGCAATATTATAGAATGTGACCAGTGAAACAATTAGGTTATAACCAAATATTATCAAAAAATTATGAAATTCGTTTGAAAAAATTAGGTTACACCAAGTAATATAAAAAAAAAGGTTATAAACAACTTAAAAATATACTTACATTTGTATATAAAATTACGAATTTAAGAATTTATATACTTCGTTTTTAAATAATCCGTTTATAAATTTATAGATACTTATAAATATATTGTAATAAGTTGATTATAATACTTCGTTTTTAAAAAAGTATTAATAAAAAAATCATTATAATACTTCGTCTAAAAATTTATAAATAAATTATAAATACTAGCAACATTTTTTAAGGTGCCCATAATATTACGCTTCTAATAGAAAATATAAACAATAAAGTATTTAAAAAAATTGTTTCTAGATTATAATACTTCGTTTATTATACATAATGAGTTTATTTGAAAATACATGCAAATGGCCGGCTGAAAGCGGAGGGCAAGCGTCACAGCGGCTTGAAAGACTGCAAGCGTCGGAGTGGCTCGAAACACAGCAACCTTCGGAGGCGGCTTGAAACAGAAGGGAGGCAGAGTACGTAGTCACCGGAGTAGGAAGCCGGAGGGGTAGCCGGAGGGTAGCCGGAGGGGTAGCCGGAGGAGTAGGCGGTGGCTGGGTATGGGGGAGTATGTACAGAGCGGTGCTAGGGTTTGTACGAATTGAATGAGCTGCGGTTTGAACGAAATGCATTAAGGACAGTTTATATACTTCCGGCATTGGCTCGGAAATATCCGTCGCAAGAGCACTGCCAAAACCGTTCTAGACCCTTCCGGATTAGTGTTCGCTCTTGGTTGCGAGTTGGCGCGGACAAATCCGTCCCAATTGCGCGAAAAAAAAACGAGCGGTTTAAATTTTCAAAAATCCGTGCCAAACTGAAAAGTCGTCTGAAACTCTGTGCAGTCAGTAATTATTATGTCAGACCAGGATTGACTCGGATTTGGTAGGGATTATTCCCTGCCAATTGCATACATTTCAGCGGATATAATGTTCTGAGACGATTTATTCCAGCCAAGTTCGTGTCAATTGCATACATTTTAGCGGATATAATGTTTTGAGACGGAATTATTCCAGCCAAGTCCTTGCCAATTGTTCAGCTCTACTATAAATATGGCTTCATATAATAGGGTAAAAATAGTTAAAAAGTGAGAAATTAGAAAAACTTTATTATGGAAAAATCTGAAGGTTCAAGTGGAAAAACAATATGGGGATGTGATTTTGATAAGTTGGGGAAAAAAATTGATCAGATAGGGGAAATACTTAAGTTAATGAAGCCTGTTGATGATGTTGCAGCTGAAAAAATTAACCAGTTATTGAAAAGGGGAAGTGAAGTGAAGGCTAAAAGTGAAGATTCTGAAGTGAAGGCTAAAAGTGAAGACGATGGTCGGAAGACACTATGAAGAATCAAATAAGTGTATCATTTTACTATGTACTGTTATTATCATTATCATGTATGGTTTGCTTATGTAATTCTTATTATCGTGTGTCGTTTGAGTTTTCAGTAATTTTAGTCTGTTTTGATTAAAATTAATGTAATAAAAACGTTCGCTTTTGGCGTAATAAAATCG